CCTCTAAATACAACATGTTTCAGTAGTCTTATCGATTTAGTTATCGTAAGTTCGTAACCTTTGTCAGTGAGATGTGAACTTTAACACAAAGAGGAAATAATTATCTTTAATCAGGCGAATGGATGAACACGTCAGCGGGACTAGCATTTACACCACATGTACTACACGTTTAGAGTCGGAGAGGTACTTTTGTTGCATTCCCTAATTAATTATCTTGATTTTATTTGATATTCCTTCAATACTCCAAGATGGGGTTGTGCTTAGGTCACTCATGGGTTTATAGGCTATGTTGGGTTCAAACGTATAATTTTGTAAATTACAATCACCTCCTTGGACTAAAGTGTAATTAGAAAACATTACACTTCATAAATTACATTCATCGCTCTGCAGTTTATAAAAAGTTCCACGTTCACCCATTTATAATGTAAGAAATCTACAAATTGTAAGGGGTATTTGTAATTATGGAAAAATGAGGGATGTTTTTCTAAATAACCTTACCTCAGGCGGGCGATTGTAATTTACTAATTTACCTTATATAGTATGATCGAGAAAATATAAATTTTACTTGATGAACAAGAAACGAACAAAAAATAATTATGTAAACATACCAATGTTGAAACTGAAATCATATTTAGGATTTTTTATTTTTATTTTTACTTGTTTTACAAGTTTATTAGATTTCATAATTTCGTAAGATTTTCAAGTGATATCATTTATCTTTCAGATAACGAGCGTGAAAGATATTTATATTTTCTTTTTACCCCGTCTAAAAGAGGTAAGTGCTACATATGTTATATACTTCGGGGGCGCAAAGTAAAATGTATAGTTATATATTGGAATAAAAGCCTTAATGAGTTTGATCCACCGCAAACGTCATATTATAATTTATGGGCCTATTGGATCGACTCAAATAATTATATCAATATGTATTTAGTGATATGTACACGTTCATTTTTAGGGACTAAATCATATAAACGATCAAAATTTCAACAAAATCGAAGTCTTCTTATCATCGGTAAACCTAATTTAATTGGCTAAAAAAGATTAGGTATTTGAAACCAAATGCATCATTGGCTAGTGGCTAGAACGGAATTTGAATTGGATTGGATTTGTCTATCTCAATTGTAGCAAATTGATTTAGCTTACGTGCCTAATTTTAGTCACACGATTTAAGTACTTGGTGCAGTACGTAGCCACCACTATTATTTATCATTATGTAATTTTTTCATTAATTGTTGATTAATTTAAAAAATCATTTAAATAAAAAGAAAAAGAATAAGAAGTGAAAACTAATCTTTGAGATGCCATTATTTAAATAAATAAATAAATAGCAGAATCATGTGTCATTTCTCCTCATAAAAATAACCTTAAAACAACATTCCTTGTCACGCGAGCGAATATAAGAGCACTAGAAACTTAATGTCTTTTAGCTTTTTATTTTTAATTGTTTTAAAAATATATTTTTATATATTTATAATAATAATCCCGCTAAATTAAAGTAATCAAAATGAAATTTTAATTACAAAAGCAAATGTAGCACATTAGCTAACATTCTTCATTAATTAAGGTGTAATAACTAATATTCCATGCTCCAACTATTAGTCTAGAAGGTAATTATTTATAAAAATAAGATAAAAAACATTGGGCGCAAACCCATTGTGCACATAGTTTATTAATTACGATAGAGATCAGTTCGGCACTTTTGGGCCGAGTTCCTTCTATTCAAGACTGGTGGGCCAAGGTTCTACGAAGAGTAAAAGTTAAATTCAAAATCGAGGTGACCTATATACCTTATAGCTAACAAAGATGGTCGAGATAAGTCAAGACGTTCGTCAAAAAGAGAATGCGGGGTAGGAACGTCAAACAGCTCGCACAACTAGAAGACCGTCCACAAACTTCAACTCACAAGATATCAATTCATAAGTTAGGAAAAAGAGTAGGTGACGAGCTCAAAGACAGCCACTAGATGAAGAAGAATCGAATATATTTTCCATAAACAAACAAGAAAAATGTATAAATCGATCAAGATTGATCGCTGATAGACGTAGATTAAGGACGGTTAAGATGATCCTAGATTAAGAAACAACCATAAGATGATCCTAGATTAAGAAAACCCTATTAGAGTTACACACAAAAGACGATCATATAATTTCTATTGAACTCTCTCTCTTTTCGAGAACCTTTTTGTCGTCTTGTCCATCGCCAGCCCTAAATTCGGTGATCGGTGAACTTTTTCAGAAGGTCGAGTAAGTAGGGTTCGAATAAAGATTTTGAGTGTACAATTTTTGCTCCATCAATCCCACAGTTTAAGATTCTAAATTGTTATGAAACAAACAAAATTAAAACATATATATATATATATATATATATATATATATATATATATATATATATATATATATATATATATATATATATAAGTTGAAAAGGTGAACAGTCCCATCTACAGATCTACAGGGAAAAGGCACTAAGAAAAATTATTATTGAGTGTGATTAGATGTATGTGCATTATGAAAGAGACCACAATCATTAAGCTTGAGATTAATTATTAAAGAATAGCTTTAATTAATTAGTGTGGGTAAAGTGAGGAGCAAACAAACAAATAGATTGGCTTCTTTAGCTTTGTGTCATCATTTGCTTTATGATTTTATCTTCCTGCAAAATTACCAAAATGTACGTACTAAGCAGAATTTCGATAAATTAATAATCTCGATTAAATAATTTTTTTTGGGTTCCGACTTGGTGTAATATATTAATTTATTAATTTAATAAATTTAATATTTCGTTAAATTAATAAGATTTTACTTGTCTCGACTGTATTAAATTATAGCGGTTTAACTGTTCGATGATTTTATATACTTTATTTTTCACCATATTATAATAGATTACTAATATATCTAATAATTAATCATGATTAGTTTAACTAATATATTCCACCGAATAATAAAACATAAAATTTAAACATAGGCATTGTCTTGGATTGATTGGATCTCTCAAATCCATATCCAAATAAAGTGTATCATTGTTTAAGGGCCCAACATATTTCATCACCTTCCACTAAAATTAAAAAGCTTCCACTTCTTTTAATTTTATCCTCTTTTTTCAAGAATAATAATACTTAATAATAAATAATTATTATAATTATAATAATATTAATAATAATAATAATAGTTAATATTAATTATAATAAACAAATAATAAAGATAATAATAATAAAAAAATATTATAACAAATAATAATAATTTAATAATAAAAATTATGTGATATAAAACATGGCCAAATTCTTCTAACTATTTTTGCACTTCCCTCTTTATAGATAAGATCGGACCAAACCTTTTGGGCACCCACTATTTAATTATTTCAAAGATAAAAAAAATAGTTAATTGTTGGAATTATATTAGAAATACTTTTTCAAGTCCCTAATATTTATTTAAGAAAACAAACATATCAACTTTATTCTTGAAAGTACTTTTGTGATAAAACAAACAAGTACCTTTGTTTGCTTTAGTTATCACATTTTATATGATAATTGTCCTTATAATTTTAATAATATTGTTTCGACTTCAAACGTGAATTTAACTTTTCTTTTAGTTTGAATTTGTCAAAACTCAAACCACGGAATTTGTAGTTCTTCGAGTAGCTTTCTAAGTCAACTTGAATCATTAAGATTAAATGTCGTTTGAGAGATATATGAATGAATCAGTAAACTGCCTGCCACTTTGATATTTCGAGTTATCTATTTCATTCATGAATAACTTTATCGTCCGACTTCAAATTCAGTTAATTTAAATTTTATTTGATCTATAGTAATAAAACTGTTAAAATGTAATATTAAATTGAAATTTAATTTTTACAAGTAAAGATTACATGAATAATGAGAAAAACTGTAAATTGAATTACTTGCCAGCAAAGCATCGAACAATGAATAGTAAGATTCTCCAGCTTGACGTGGCGACTCCTCATTCGCTGACGCATCGTAACATACGTAACAGACCGATTTCCGGTTCATCATCGTGAAATACTAACCAGACCGGCCCCAAAAAAAAAAAAAACGTTACACACACTTCATAATTTTTCGATCGAAATCCCTAAATTGAATTCCAGCTTTGATTTTACGAGTGTGAAATTTCAGCGAGGAAGAAGGAAGAATTGGGGCTAATTCCGATCAAATGGAGGCGGAACTCAAATGCTTGCTTAGTGATTTTCAAAGTCTTCGCGATTCTTTGCGTGATCCCTCTCATCAAGCTTTAATTGATAAGGTAACCACTGATTTCTGCATAATTTTTCCAATGTTTTATGATTCGTTGTTAGTTAGGTTTTTTTTTTTTGAGATTCCGACAGTTGTTCTTGTATGATTGTTTTTGCTGTGGCGTATAATTGGGAGAGACTTAAGTCTTAACTTTGGGCTTTGAACAATTTTAGAACAACAGTTTTCGATTACATTACTTGAAGGATTAGTGAGGTACTGGGAGTGCACAGACTTCAGCATTGTTGTTTTATTTTTTTTAGGAAATGGGTTGAGGAACATACTTAAATTACGAAAACAAATCTGGCGAGTCGAGTTTGATAAGTGGGGAATGGTAATAATATAGTTGATCAAGATTATTTTGAAAGCCGAGTGATCCGATTTAATTTTGATAAATATAATGGTTCTTGAGATGGATATTGTGAGCGAACGACGATTGTTTGGGAATGTTGAATTTGGAGGAAGTAGTTTCTTTTGTTGACGACGGTGGAGGTATGAGATGAAACTAGAAAATGGGACAAAAGATGGTTTACGATTAAACATTTGCTCGTATTTTTTGTTAGCTTTAATTTTATCCATCATTTATTATTTGATCAAAAGACATTCCTGTCTTTGTCAACAGTTCTAGACAAACTTCAGCCGAAATCTTTACTTTTTCTAAAGATCTTTCGAACTAGCCCTTCTCGTTATTTTCAGTGTTTATGAAAAATTTAATATTTTCAGTGTCTTTGTCCCATTACTTATTGTTCGTCCGATTGAGTAGAAGTATCAGAAGAAGGTAAGAATGAATAAATCTTATTCGAAGTTGATGCTATAAGTTAAAATTTGCTTTACGTTAAATTTTGTAAATTATGTTGTTTACTGTCGATTTTCACGAACCTGCATTCCGTGTAAGCTTTGCATGTCCTGAGTATGTTCCTGTTTTCCTTGTACTTGTAGATGCAATCACGTGTTGAGCATCTTTCGGCAGCGGAAAAGTTGGCAAGTGTTCAGCGTTCCAAAATCAAGGTTATTATTTCCTTCTTACTTTCTGTCATAGTCTATTAAATTCAAGACATTAACATTTGTTATACTGCCATGCAGGATATGAGTGCTGAGGTGGTTGATAGCAACCCATACAGTAGACTTATGGCACTTCAGAGGATGGGTATCGTGGACAACTATGAAAGAATACGGGACTTTTCAGTTGCCATTGTGGTCTGTATTTAACTTCTGCTGTCATAACTATTTGTTTCTTTTCAAATTATTGTCTGTTTGTTGTTCTTTTTATAATACATACTAGTGAATGTTACTGATCTTTTTTGCAAAAAAATTGCCCCTATCTGATGGTGTGTCGATTGGATCAATAGCTTCATTGTTATAAGTTTTTTTTAAATGGTTCTATTTTAAATGGTCCTGTACAGGGTATAGGTGGTGTTGGCAGTGTTGCAGCTGAGATGCTAACAAGGTGTGGCATCGGTCGCCTTTTGTTGTATGACTATGATAAAGTGGAGTTAGCTAACATGAATAGGCTTTTTTTCCGTCCAGAGCAGGTGTATTTATAGTATATTATCGATTTTTTTATGTCACACTTCTAAGAAAAGAAAAGGGCGGAAAAAAAAAGTAATCGAGAGATGGAGCAAAGTTAACTTTCTAACTCTCATTCTTCCGTTCGAAAGCACAAAGTAGTGACATCTTTTTGTTTTTACCTTTGAAGGCTGGCATGACTAAGACAGATGCTGCTGTGCAAACTCTCACAGACATAAACCCTGATGTTGTGCTAGAGGTATAGTATTATGAATTGATAAATTTCTCGACTCCACTATATTCTTTCAACTTTGCCCCGTGTCCGATATACACAATACTACATATATGTACTGTTGTTTTCTATGGCTTCTGTGTTATTGATCGGTTGATTGTCTTCTCAGAGCTATACATTGAACATCACTACAGTACAAGGCTTTGAGACCTTTATGTCAAGTCTAACAGATAAATCATTTCGTCCGGATAAAGACGGAATTGGAGTTGATCTCGTTTTAAGCTGCGTAGATAATTATGAAGCAAGGATGGTGGTAAATCAGGTCAGAACAAAGATTTTATAACAAAAAAAACTACCTGTTTTGGGAATATTGAATGTGCTCAGAATATTGTCGTGATTAAAACATTTGGTCATGTGTGCAGGCTTGCAACGAGTTGAAGCAAACATGGATGGAATCTGGTAAAGAATACAAAAACTGGCTTTATTTGACTTAGAAACTCAATTTCCTTGTCCTTCCATGTTCTTTTATCGGAGATTGTAGTAAAACTAAAGATAATTTCATCTATTTATCACATCAAAATGCTGTTTGTTTGAAAAATGCGATGTGAAAATTATTCTCTTGCTAATTTATGCATGGAATTAATATGTTATGAACTCTTTGTGCAGGTGTATCTGAGAATGCTGTTTCTGGTCATATACAGTTGTTGGTTCCTGGTGAAACTGCTTGTTTTGCGTGTGCACCTCCGTTGGTATGTTTAGTAAATGAAAAATCATTACCTTTTCTTTTTTCTTCTTCTTCTTTTTTTTTTTTGGAGTTTTCTTTCAATTATGAATGCTGTTTTGTGGCATCCTTGTGCTGTATACACTAATTATTTAATGAATATTTTTTTATCTTAGGTTGTAGCATCGGGGATTGACGAGCGTACGCTAAAGCGTGAAGGGGTTTGTGCAGCATCTTTGCCAACTACAATGGTTAGTTTCGTTTTCCTTGACTGTAATTTTACCTCTCTTCCCTCTCGTTTGCTGCGTATATCATTACTGAATATCTAATTTGACTTGAAGGGTGTTGTTGCCGGTCTTCTTGTTCAAAACACTCTAAAATACTTGCTCAAGTTTGGAAGTGTCACTCCCTATTTGGTAAGTCTTGAAAGTTCAAATAGCCCCCCCAGAGTCCTTCTCCCCCCCCCCCCCTCTCTCTCTCTCTCACACACACACACACACTCAACTGGTTTTTTGTGGCATGCTATCCAAATGGTTGAAGACAGTCGATAAATGAACCGAGGAAAATTTCTTGGACTTTTTTGTCAGTAGAAATATATAGTTTGTCCCATGTTCGTATTTATGTTTCTTTATAGCGTGGTTTTTTCTTTCTTGATTTCAGGGTTACAATGCTTTAAAAGACTTCTTTCCAACAATGGAAATGAAGCCGAACCCTCAATGTTCTAATGCTTCTTGTATGGAGAGACAGGTGAAAAATCCATTAAGCCCTTTTCCAATATACTTCTTGTTCAACTCTATGTCAAAACTATTCCTTTTTTTAATATTCTTTATTAATATATGCCATGGTGCAGAAAGAATATGCTCTTGCAAAGCCAGCCAGAGATGCTGCCGCTAAAGCCAATCTGGAGGCTGAAGTGTTAGTAGAAGTCGAGTGCCTCCATACCGATAATGAATGGAATATAAGGTCAGATAGTTTGAGTGTTCTTTCATTTAAATTATAATTATTTTTTACCGATTTACGTTTTTTATTACATCGATCCGCTTTATAAGTTTCTTGTTATTCTAGTTTCTCTTTGAGTTCTAATGACTTGCTATCTTGATCGTGATTCAGTGTTGTTGATGATGATAACGACGTACAAGGCCCAAAATCCAGTTCAGGTGAATCGAGCGAAATTTCATCATATTGCCATATTGCACATCGTAAAAACTCGTAGTGAACAATTAGATGAGTCGAGCGAAATTTTCTTCATAATATACATCGGCTCAAACACAGCATCAACTTGATTCTACTCACTGTGTCGAGCGAAAGATTCTGAATTTAAATGAACTTTAAAAAAAAAAAATTTGATTCGACTATTTTTCTGACGATGAAACATTTGCTTTAGGTGCTCTGCCAGAAGGCCTTGTTCACGAGCTTCCAAGCGCAGATGAATTTCAGAAGCCACATGTTTCGGAGGAAACCTCATCCACCATTGATGACCTCGAAGCTCTGAGAAAAGAACTCGAATTACTTAATGCAATCTAGTTTTTTTTTTATTAATTGATAGATTAGATTAACTTTTGAAGGATTGATATACGACCCCTGCATTAGAGTTCGAGTTGTTTTTGCTTCAGTCATTCGACACATCCTCGGGGTCAAAATAGAATCCCTTTTTTTGGGAGGTAATGTATTTTTCGTACTTTTTATATAATGTTATATAATTTAAATTTCCGGAACTAAAATTAATTTCCCCCGATTAATTGTATCTTATTGTGACTGCACATTGAGTTTTTATTTATGTTTTATTAAGCTGGTGTTTAGTCCGATTTATAACATTGAAGATTGAAGCTGTTCGCTATTTAATTGAGCGAACGAACCAGTGGGAACATAGCAACTGATGGCATAACATACGAGTTATAATAACATGACATCGGTTCTTTTTCGATATTATCTTGCGTATAAAAATTTGCAAGAAACGTCGTTGTATCGTGTATTTATACCACAAACAGAACCATAAACCGAAAAACAAAGAGCTGTACATTGAAGTCAAAACTTTCCTAACTCATTCACTCTTTTTCTGTACAACATATGCACACACACACACACACACACACACACACACACACACACACACACACACACACACACATATATAGAGGTGCATTTAAGGTAGGTATTGTTGTAGACATTGTCTCAAATTTTGAAAAGTAACCGGTTTCGATACGAAAGAATCCATCCCGTTTGCGTAACATTCGTCTGCACTTTCCGACAATGCATTTGCTGTCATCTGCAAAAAAGAAAAATATTGTATTGAATTTCGTCAATTGCTAAAATCAATTGGTACTTGCTCTAATTTCGGCACAAGGGCTTACGGCTACTATAGGAATCCTCTTCCTCGGTTCGTTAAGATGTGAATTCGGGCAAGAATGCGAAAACGGCGAATCCGTTATCTCGACGCCAGCCTTCACTGCTTCATCCCAATTACCCGTTTCCTCAAACGATCGGATCAATCTAGTAGCTTCTAGACCATCCATCACCGGCATGCAAACATCCTACAAGAATGCGTCCCATTAGTTTTAGTAGAATTAATATTTACTTAATTTCGATGATAAATATGTAACAACGGCTTTTCTTACCATTAAGACGAGATGATAACCGTTGGATTGAACCGCACGAACAGCTTCCGCTCCGTTATGTACGACGTCCATATCATGGCCCAACTGCTTCATCATCGATTTTGCCACCATCACGTTAATCTTGTTATCATCCACAAGAAGTATCTTGGGTTTTGCCTCGGTTTTTGGAATTTCAGGGCTTTTATTGCTTGAAATGCATTCGGAGCTCCCGTTCGTTCGATCCCGATTGTCGTAGGTTACTACTACATGAGTTTCTACACTAGTCTGTGAGGTCTCGTCACACGGTTGAAAACGACAACTCTCGTCTGAATTAAGGTTGTTGTCCGAACACGTCTGCGGCGAATGCGAAGTTTCACCGTTTAAATCTTCTTCAGATACGGTTTCTTGATATGTGACGTTGCTACAAGGGGATAACGACGACAAGTCCTCTGTTTGACCGTTGCTGCATTGGAATCCGTGACTATCGGGCGGAAGCTTCTGGATCCTTCCGGAACCTTGAGACGAGAACAACGAGCCCAAAGTCCTCGGTTGGAACACGAAAACTCCCGAACTTAGATCGTCGTCGTTTTCGTCATTGAGTATGTCTTGGTGGTCAGTGTCTGATAATTCCTCGGAACTGTCGGAAATCGTCGAAAGCTTGTGAGGTAACACGAATGTAAAAGTCGAACCTTGTTTTTCTGTGCTTGATACGGTGAGATGCCCTCCCATTAGCTCAACCTATGAAAACATACATATATATATAAAAGAAATTCAACGAATTAAAAAGTCGAAAAAGTAGTTGTAAACGAAAACATGACAAATCCCATGATTCTTGTCTTAAATATGAAAAGAAAAATAAAAAATTACCAGCTGTTTACAGATTGCAAGGCCTAATCCCGTTCCGCCATATTTACGAGCTGTGTCTGCACCGACTTGCATATATTTCTTAAATAGAGTAGGCATAGCATTTTCTGTTTACATGATTATATTCAAAAGCAAAATAATATATTAGTTTTCGTCGTACGACAGTTATAACTGTCAGTAACAATATTAAGACTACATTGGTAGTACCAGGTATTCCAATTCCGGTGTCGTATACGTCACATCGAATCCATACTACAGATTCTTCGGAGTTCGTGTGAGAATCTTTTTCTTGATCCATCGAGACCCCGTTTTCGAAGATTTCCTTATGATCATCTTTCATATTACTATCTGAAGCATTCGATTGATCTTGGGAATGACTCAGCGAATCTTGTTTTATTATTGTCCCTGGATCTCTAACGATGTAGAGATTTATTCCGACTTTACCCTCGTGCGTAAACTTGATGGCGTTGCTGTAATAAAAAAAAACATCAACAAAATGCTGAAAATTACAAAAACATAAATGAATATATGCAATGCATATATATAAATATATACCTGACTAAATTGGTGAGAATCTGTCGAATTCTTAGGACATCTCCAATAACCTGAAACAGAAAAAAAATCGTTCGTTATAAAAATTATCCGGTATGGCCCTTCTAGAACATTCTAGAACATGACATCTAGTTAAAAAAAAAAAATCCGATTTTACCTCGACAGGTACATCATCGGCTATGTGACCTTCTAGAACGAGTAGTTTCTGTAGTGACGCTGCCGCTGTCTGAAGAACATGCTTTACTACCTCCCTCGGTCTAAACTTCGTCGCTTCCAATTTCATTACTCCTAAATAAATATAAAAAATTATTTCGATTTTCGATCGACATTTTTATTTTATTAAGTACGAATAAATATAATTCACACGCACCTGACTCGACTTTGGAAAGATCGAGGATGTCGTTTATCAGTTGAAGGACTAAATCGCCAGACGACAACATTACCCCTAATAGCTGCCTCTGCTCTTTATCGAGTCTAGTAGTCGAAAGAATTTCGGCCATGCTCACAACTCCCGACAACGGAGATCGTATCTCATGCGACATAGTTGCCAGCATTTGTTTCGCTCTCATCGATTCCTCTGTTTTAATAATAAACAACATATATTTAAATAAATAAAATGAGGCGATGGCTTTTTTTTTTTTTTTTCGATCTCGTTTATGTATAATAATAACCTGTGATGTGGATTGTTTTCGTGAGTTCTGTTTCTTTGGCCTTCTGCACTGCCATTTCTTCTCGGATTTTCGCCATCTTCTCTCGTTTTCTCACTTGATCGGTTATTTCCATTCCCATGTAGTTTACTCCGATCGTTTCACCGGTCTTGCTAAAAACAGGCTCAACGTAAATTAGAAATGTTTTCGAACCGAACAGCTCCGTTTCGAACGTGATCTCTCTTTTTGCGGGCAACCCTTTTTCGAGGACCTCTTTTTTGAAGTCTTGCGATTCTTTCACGCCCGCTCCGCTGAAAATCTCGACGTCGGTTTTTCCGATGATGTCCTGTTTAATTCAACGAGACCGAATAATCAGACAGTTTTAATTATTGCAGAAACCTTAAACCATACTAAGTAAAGTTTATTACCTCCTCACCCAAACTCGGGAAATGATTGAATATGAATCGATACCGCAATTCTTTATCCTGCAAGAAAATCGATCGATTCGATCACAATCCGAAAACGTAATAACACACACACACACACACGCATATACATACCTGGTGGCCGATGACAACGGGGGCATTTTGGAGGACGAAATGCAAAAAATTATCGGCCCGTGTAAGAACCTGCGAAAGCTCCTCAACGGGAGAAGACTGCGTCTCGAGATTGGCGATACTCTCTTGAAGCTTCTCGAGCAAGACTCGCTCCCGTTGGAGAGAAGCTTCTAGAAGCTTCTCGAGATGCTCGCCTCTCTGCTTCCAATACACAACACTATCATACTCTGCATCAATCTCCACCTTCTTCTTCTCAAAGATCAAATCTTTCTTTACTCGAGGAGCACTTTGGTACAAGTACTTCAAATTCTCGTCGAGAATCGAAATTGGCCGTTTATCGCCACTATACACGTCTCGTTCGAATCTATGCTCTTCGAGAATTTCCAACTTCTTGAGCTCGACTTCTTGCTGCTGCTTGCTTAAATTATCGATTTCTTCCTTTAGGAGACGAACGGCGTTCGCTTGCTTGTACTCCCAATTCTTGATTAGGTTGGCTAACTGCCAGTTGCCTTTGTCACTGTAGTTTGTGAGCTCCATTAGGCGCTTGAAATCGACGATGTTCGGCTCTTTGTTGATTGTGACTTCTTCTAACATGTCTTGATCTGCGCTCGGCTTTTCCACGTTGAATTGTCGGCCGGCCTCGTTTATGTCTTCGGGCCACATCGATGACAAGACGATGTCCATTTCTTCGGATTCGTGCTCCTCGGTTTCCATTTCGCACCCCATTTCGGCACCTCGTTTATCGTTGTTTCTTCGGATAATATGATCAAGAATTGAATCAGTGGATTAAAAAGCTGACCTTTTTGATGAATCCTAGATTAATTCTTGGCAGAAACTCTCTCTCTCTCTCTCTCTCTCTCTCTCTCTCAAGATTCAAGAAGAGGAAAAGGCTACTAATAATAAGTTCATATATCCAATGGCTTATTCACTGTAGATCTGAAGGAATCTGTTTGGAGGCCTCATCAGCTGAGTCAAAGAAAATAAAATTGATTAATAATAATTATTATTAATAACCGAGCCGAGTTTTTGGAGAACATATACATACAAAATGTAGCTAGAGAGAGAATATGAGAGAGAGAGAGAGAGAGGGGGGGCATGTGCTGCATCATCAAACCAAATAAACAAAACGAGAAAACCAAACAAATTATATATATGTGTGTGTGTGTGTGTGTGTGTGAGGGATTTAGGAAACTGAGGAAGAAGCCATGTGCAGTTGAGGTGAAAAAAAATTGCATGAAAATGGTTAGTTTTTTAAGTTTCTTTTATATATATATATATTACTGCAAAATATTCTCTCTCTCTCTCTCTCTCTCTCTCTCTCTCTCTCTCTCTCTCTAGATCTCTCTCTCAGGGTGTGTCTACTGTGTGTGTTCTCGTCATGGTGAGCATTTGCTGATGAATGTTAAATAATAACTGAAACTTTTTTTTAATCCTCTCGTACTGTGTTCAAAGTCTGTGTGTGTGTGTGTGTGTGTCTATATATATATATATATATATATATAGAAATGATTTTCACCCAATCAACACGAACCCATGTACGCTGCAGTTGTTTGAGGAGAGAGAGAGAGAGAGAGAGAGAGAGAGAGAGAGAGAGAGAGAGAGAGAGAGAGAGAGTATTTAAATGGAGGAGGGGGCCAAGGCATTTGCTCCCCGCCCTTTACGAGGTGTATGGACGGCGCGTGTATTACTGTAAATTCCACGCAATTACAAATTTATCCAACTAACAAATTAAATAGTAAATAAAACAATTAATTTTTTTTTATAAGATTATTGCCTATTAATCTTTAATTAATTACTAGATTAGCTTAAATAAATAAAAGATAATGCAGTGAAGATTAATTAAAGGTCCTTTGGATCTCGCAAATTGTTGCGGGCACATGGACCTTTTTACGTGTTTGAAGCATTGCTAACAATTTAATAATTTAATATTCCCCTAATTTTATTTTATTTTTTATTTTTTTAGTTATAAAAAAAATTAATAAAAAAAATTAAAAATAAAAAAAATATTTATAAATTAAAAAAATAATAAAAAAAAATTAAAAAATTCCACGACACCTAATTTATGATTTGGAAAAAAATGGAATTTGTGAAAGAGTCTTGTAATAATTAAATAATTATTAAAAGTACTAATTGACTTTTCTTTATGTAATTGTTTTTAATAGTTATGACATGTTAACTTTTGTGTCTGATGGGAGCACGTTTGTTTGTTCCAATCTCCTAAATTAATTAAGCATTTAATTTGTATGTATACTTAACCATTAGACATTTTTAAATAATCAAAATGTGTGTAAATAGTGAGAAATATTCATTAATTTTAAAAAAATATTATATCTACCAAACCGTTGTGCATGTTGATGTGGCATATAGTACATGGCGCAATAATAAAATATAATTAATTTAATGAAAATCATTATGAATTTAAATTTACTATATATATTGTGAAATTACTAAACTTACTCCATAAACAAGACGTATCCTAATTAGGGATGGAAATCGGAATGGAATATCAAAATTCCGTCAAATTCGATGCGAAAATATCCGAATTTGGAACATTATTTTTCATCCTGATTTTCGATTTCTTTTGGAACGGAATCGACATTGTATATAAAATTGCTGGAAATTCGATTTCCGATCCAATTTTAGTTCCGGATATTTTGATTGTAATTGAACAAAGTTGAATATAATTTTGTATAACGGAATTGGTATTTACGATCCGTTCCCTCCGATTTCCACACCTAATCCTACTTGAACAAAGTTGAATGCATGTACTTAAAGAATATGGTATGTAATTCCTCAAAATTATATATTATTATATTTGTATGGCAACACGATAAATAATTATATTTTTTGTTATGGGTGTCGGATGACGTAATTTATAAATTTTGTAAAATCAAATTAATGTAAATATAATAAAATAAAATGAATAGGTTCAAGTTCAATGTGTGCACGAACGAACAAGTGATGTTTACAAATACGTCTACTTGTAAAAAAGTGTTGAAATCGAGGAATTATTTTTAGAATGTAATTGTTTCATATCTAGTTGAAAATTGTGAAAGAAAAGAATTAAATAATCGAATATATATTCAATGATAAAAAATTGTAATTATTATTTTCTTTTCCTATATTTGTTTCTCTAAATTATTGATTTATTAATTGTAGACTATCAATTTTAGTTTATGACAATTAAGTTTAATATTATTTTTGTGGATTGGGCTTGTACTATCAAATATAAATTTATATGAATGCTGATATTGCTAGTGTAATTTAAATATTAATAATAAAATTTTATTATAATAGTGCAATATATTATTTTCTTATAACTATTAGGACAAATTACGGCCACCCCTCGAAGGTATGGCCAAATTACGAAATACCCCTATTGTTTGGGTAATTACAACCACCCTTCCTTTTAAATAGTTTTACATAAAATTTATATAATTCGGTTATTTACCGAACCAAATCGTGTATTCAGTTCCGTAAACTGTATGAAATGTTGGCGTACCGAAATTTCGGTTCGGTTTTACCGATTTGACATCCCTAGATTTATCTTTGGAGGAATATTTTCGTAAGATACATTGATATGCCTAATTAGGTCAGCTCAATAGTCCTACAATTTAGTTGTCTATTGGGGCACGAGCCCAATTGAGAAGACCATTACTACGAAAATCCAACCACCTTCAAATAAGGTGTGGGCCCGACTTATTAATCTCAGGCCAATTAACAAGGTATAAATAACGATAAAACTCATTTGTTAAAGGTACGTTCGAAGATTCAAAGCAATTCAAATGTTTACATTCTCTCTACAATCTCTACGATCCGTACATCTAACTTGAGCGTTGAAGGAGTTTCCGCCTGATTAACCCATGGCTTAGTTTACGTGTGTTCTATTCGCAGAAATATCATGACCATCTAGTTAGTGAACACGTGATGCGCGTTGCTCTCCCAGCTCATTCAACTCCCCTACCTAAAGTGATCTAGTACTTAGCATCATCACACATAGTTGAGGGATAGTTGTAATTACCCAAACAAGAGGGGGTTTTCGTAATTTTAACCATAACTCAAGGGGTTGACCGTAATTTTCCCTAATTGTTATTGTCATGTATTTAAGTAATAAAATACTACTTGAATAGGGAATCTCATTAAGCAAGTCTTGAGCACTAATCAAATGATTAAGAAAAAATATGTTAATTAAAGCTCTAATTATTTGCTTCCACATACAAATAATAATAAAACAAAATTAATTAGTTTAATGCAATTCACAACTAAGCTATATTCGACTCTCATCTATATGTATCAATTCTTCCATGTGACAATCATAACCCCTATTAGGGTTGATATATATATAATTAATATTAGATAATGTCGGGTTAATTATTTAATAATTGTTAATGTAGGTTAATATTGTACACTCCATTTTTATTTATTCCATCAAATAATTTCCATGGAAACTTTATTATAAAATTAGGAACCTTTTGCAATAAAATAATTTTTAAAAGTAAATAAAAACCTGAGTTCACATAGATAAATAAAAATTAAAAGGAGACTTTATATATACAGCTAATTATATCTTTAGTGCTAAACATGTAAGTCAGTGATGATTGAATCCATTACTTATTAAATATTATTAATTATGATTAATTAAATTGTTGAGGCCACTGCCAGATTGATTATCTGCCTCTTTGCCGAGATGGAAAATTATATTTAAAATAAAATATTATTAAATTTAAATTTGTGGCATTTTCTTGTCTGGAATATATATATATATATATATATATATATATATATA